GGTCTCTCAATATCCCAAAACACCACGTTGTATCGTATGCCTTGTCCATGTCAAGGAAGAGAGATAGGAAAAACTACTTATGAATGAAAGCTTCGCGTATTTGTGCCTCTGTGCGAATGAGATGGTCTGTGGTGAACCGACCCTCTCGGAATCCACACTGATATTGGTCGAGGAGTTTGTTTGATCCCCAAAATTGTATTAATCGGCAATTTATCATATTTTCAAATAATTTGCAGAGGCAGCTAGTCAGAGAAATAGGTCTGTAACTCAGTACGGAAGACGGACCTTTGCCCTGTTTAAGAATAGGTATTACTATGGCCTCTTTCCACGCAGAGGGAATCTCGCCAGAAGCCCATGTGGAGTTATACAGACACAGGAGAGTTTTATGTGTTCCTTGAGGTAAGAGTTTGAACATCTGATATAAAACACAATCAGAGCCTGGGGCTGATTTGTTGCGGCAGTTTAGCGCTGCCTGCAACTCAGCCAAGCGAAAAGGTCTGTTGTATGGCTCATTTTTTCCACATTTACGTTCAAGTTTTTGCCTTTCTACTCTTTCTTTGTATCGTTTGAACGTATGAGAATAATGCGATGAGCTGCACACCTGTTCAAACTATGCTACCAGGGAGTCTGCTTGATCCTCAAGGCTGTTACCCTCAGGGTATACTAGAGGAAGTGAGTGTATCTGTTGGCCTCTTATCCTATTCACTCTGTTCCAGACCTTAAATTCATCTGTATAGAAATTAATGCCTGACAAAAACTTCTGCCAGCTTTTTCTCTTAGCCTGCCGGCGCGTCCTTCGCCCTCGAGGCTTTACTTGTTTGAAATTGATCAGATTCTCTGCAGTTGGGTAGTCACGCAATAGGCACCACGCTTTATTCTGCTTTTTGCGAGCATTCCTGCAGTCATCGTTCAACTACGGGACACGACGTCTGCAGGGACCACAATTTGTCTGGGGGATACATTTTGAAGCAGCGTCAATAATAAAAGCAGCGAAGTACATAGCGGCAGAGTCAATTCCTAGAGAGGAAATCTCGGCCCACGATATAGTACTAAGACACTGCTACTTCTCCCAATCTGCTCTGTCTACATTTCAAGTTGGAGCCTGAGGTAAAAATTCATTTTCTTTTGGTGTCTTCAGTAATATGGGAAAGTGATCACTCCCATAGGAGTTTTAATAACATCCCAATTAAAATCAGGAAAAAGTCTAGGAGAAACTATGCTAAGATTAATGCACGAATACGTTTTGTTTGCCAGGCAAAAAATGGTTGTTCTTTCTTATTTAAAATGCATGCATCTGTGGAAAGAATAAAGTTCCCAATCAAGCGGCCTCGCGCATCACTCCATGAGCCACTCCACAAAGGACTGTGGGCACTAAAATCGCCAAAAACGATATATGGTTCAGGTAGTTGATCCATAAAAGACTGATATTCTTGTTTCTGCAGCTGATAATGAGGAGAAATGTACACTGAGCAAATGGTAACAAGTTTCCCTAAGACAACAGCACGAATGGCCACTGCTTCGAGGGCCCTTTGTATCTGCAAATCTTGACACGCTATGCATTTGTCTAATATGATAGCAACGCCACCTGATGATGCGATTGCATCATCTCGATCGTTGCGGAAGATGATGTGGTCTCCAAGGAAATTCGTATGTTTTGGTTTCAAGTGTGTTTCTTGTACACACAGCACTTTTGGCGAGTGTTTGTGTAAAAGTTCTTGGACATCTTCGAGGTTTTTAAGCAGTCTTCTGACGTTCCATTGCATAATTTGAGTTTTCATATTGGGTGTAAAGTAGTGCTGTGTGTACGGATTGGGGGTGACTTATTCTACAGAGCCTTTAGGGGGCCTTGTACTTGGTGTTTTTTTTTCTTTCTTGGAGCGGTCAAGGGGCTCTCGCCGCTCCTTCGGCGCAATCGGCGCCGGTGGTTCAGTGGTGTCTATTGCCTCGGGAGAGCCGCCAGACAGTCGTGTACGTGGGGTAGGCTTTGTCTTGGCAGACAAAGCCTTCGCCCCCACCGGGCCAGAGGTCAAGGGGACCTCTATAGTTTGTGTTTTGCCCTGGCTGCTGCCAGGGTACACAGGGCCTTTGGTAAGGCCGTGATCAAAGAGGGCGGAGCATCCAGGGCTGCTTCTCTTGTGGGGTCTGCTGGCGGATGCCTCGGCATGCCAGGCGTCATCCAGGGCTTCGCCGAGAACCGTAGTGGTGCTGACCCCCCTTGCACCACTTCAGAGAATGACTTCTGTAGAAAAGTGTGCGATGCGCGCTGTCAGGCTTCCATGAAACATTTTTTTAACTTAATTGAGAGAATGTTTTTTTTTCTTTTCCAGGCTGGGCATGAGCGAGATTAAGCGGGATGGTCAACATCACAGGTGGCGCAATGGGCCTCAGCCCCAGACTTACAATCATCAGCTTCATCATCAGTCATCAGCTTACAGTCATCATCATCGATTTTGGTATATATGGTCAAACATGGAGCATGAGTTGGCATGTAGCGACTGTTTCTGGGAGTGTGTTTGTTCTAAACGTCAGTACAATGTGTTTTGTGGAGAGTTCTACATTATTTCACCTCATTTTAATGCGCTGCACATGTATGAAATTCTCGTCCTTCCAGTCGTCCAAAAGTTCTTTGTCGGTAAGGTCTACAAGACCTTCATCTCATACGACACCTTTCACTGTGTTCAATGTCCAGTGAGCGGTAACGGTGAGAGGTTTGTCCCCAAATGCAACAAGATTGCTTAGTTTCTGATACTGTATTTTGTCTTTGACTTCTATGAACAGGTCCCCACTGGCCATCTTGGTGGCTTTTTAGCCAGTGCCGATGGTATCAGTGAGGCATCTGGAAACTAGAAACGGTGATATGTTTGTTGCTTTCTTTCTGTGGTTTCACAATATATGACATGATATTTTGCGAACAAGTCTTCATTCTTCATTACACACTGTGATGATGATGATGAGCGGTGTCTTGCAGCGCAACGACCAAATGAAAACTGTGAGGCTGCTTCGGTGCGCTCCCTTTTCTGGGGGCGATCACTTAGTAAGGGGTTTGGTGAGCCCATGAAAGAAAGTGTTTGCTCGGAAATGGCGCCTACCACCCAACACGGAGCCCAACTAGGGGACGTGGCAGAGCATGTAAACACGTCTGCGCAACGCCAACAGTACGCCATCACTATACCCTAATATGGTTTATCCTAGGTTGGATAAGCACACAAGGTTAACCCTTGCCGCCAGGAAATTTGGTAGTAGATGGAAAAGAGAAGATGACAGGACAGATAAAATGTGGGAGATAACGATGGAGATGTAGGGAGAGAGAGATAGGAAAGGGCGACTGCCGATTTTTTCTGGGTGGGTCAGCCCAGAGGTGCCGTTCACGTGAAGCCGGGGCCAAAGGGGTGTGATGCCGCCGCTGGCGGGCCTTCCAGATCCAATCACCCAGCATCGGCTCAACCCACCCTCCCAGGGCACACTCACGTTCACACTCAGATTCCCTCACAGTCATGAGTCTTCAATCACGTTCATACTCACGACTACTCACACTCATGAGTTCTCACTCACGTTCACACTCACGACTTCTTCCACACATGATCACTCACTCACGTTCATACTCACAACTACTCACACTCATGGGTACTCACTCACATTCATACTGTCTTCTTCCTGAAACTCATGAGTACTCACTGAGATTCATACTCACGCCTACTCACCCTCATAGTGCTCACTCACGCTCACACTCAGGTTCACTCACGCTCACGAGTCTTCACTCACGTTCATACTCACGACTACTCACACTCATGAGTTCTCACGTTCACACTCTCGACTACTTCCACACATGAGCACTCACTCATGTTCATACTCGTAACTCATCAAACTCATGAGTACTCACTCACGTACTCACTCACGTTCATACTCACTTTTACTGACACTCATTAGAGCTCACTCAGATTCATACCCACGCCTGCTCACCATCATAATGCTCACTCATGTTCACACTCAGGTTCACTCACACTCATGAGTCCTCACTCATGTTCAAACTCACGACTGTTCACACTAACTTCTACTTAAATTCACGAGTGCTCACTCAGATTCATACCCACACCTACTCACCCTCATAGTGCTCACTCAAGCTCACACTCAAGTTCACTCACACTCATGAGTCTTCACTAACGTTCATACTAACGTCTGCTCACACTCATGAGTTCTCGCTCACGTTCACGACTATTTCCACACATGAGCGCTCACTCACGTTCATACTCAAACTACTCACACTCATGAGTACTCACTCATGTTCATACTCTTGAGTACTCACTCACACTAATACTCACTTCTGCTCACACACATGAGTGAGTGTGCCGAGCTGCGCGAGCCGGCGTCACGGACGCAACTCAATTTACACAAACAGGTAGATGCAGTAGGTTGCACTTGGCTCGAAGTGAAAGGGTCAACTACATATAGTCAAGTTTTGCTTGTTTTGTTGCTTTGTGTAACAGCGATTCCAAGCAGTTCCTGTGATCTGAGCAAACTATTTTGCATTCCCACTGATTTATTACCTAGTAGCACGGGTGCGCAGAAACTTTGTTACAGAAACTTACGTAATTGTCAGTTCTTTTTAAAAAGACAAACACGGACACCGCTACAAATTGTGTTGCTGAGTGTTTCGGCTATATTCAGTGGGTTGTTTCTTTTAAATGCAGAGTATACCATAGAAATCACGTTACTGTAAGACATCTGTCCACGCCACCGTGAACACCACTTGGAGCTTGAAATAGCTGGCCGATGTTAATATCAATTTAAATGAACGTCTTGTTGTCGGCTTGCATGCCGTCGTTTATACGCAAAATGTGCCAGGAATAGTGATTTAAGGATGACCCATCTTTTAGAATGTCAACTAACATAACAGCATCACTGAAAAAATTCTCTTCTGCTGCCGATGGTGCGTACCATATTTCACCGCTTTCACAACACTGGCTTCACTATGACGTCAGCCAGCGACACCAGCTACTTACGTAGGCCGTGTCAACGACCCTCTTAGAGGCATGCGGTGGTCGTGGAGAATAGCGCACCACCTGCTGCTTGTTTTCCGTGCACAGCTGCAGGGACATCTGCTTCGGGGGAGTGATTGCGTCCTCAACGGTGCCATGCCAGACCGAGTGGCAGCTTTACTGACGCGTAAGTACAACCTGAATTGTATCTTGGTAACGTTGATTAGGGCACCCAATTGAAACAGACGATAATTCTGCAGAGACAAGGCAAATGTAAGAAAGAATGAAAGGGTTGAACATCCATTCTTTCGCTCACCTTCCCTATTACAAAAACGGCGTTTGCTGTGCACAACCAGCTTCACAAATCTTTCCTAAAGCGCAGGTCGCGGGATCGAATTCCAACCGCGGCGGCCGCACTTTCGATGGAAACAAAAACGTTAGAGGTCCATGTACTAAGGTTTAGGTGGACGTGAAAGAACCCCAGATGGTCAAAATTTCTGCAGACCTCCTCTATATATATGGCATCTTTCATCCTTATATAGTTGTTTTGGAATGGTAAACCCCCAACTATTGTCGAGTTAACCTTCTTGCGACGTCATGATTGTAGCGGCTGCATCCGCCAGCTGCTGCTGTTCAACCCAATCGTCCATGCTGAATTTTACTGACAAGTGCACCGGATGACGCCCCACTGTCTATTTCAAGTAGTTTCAGCACTTCGGTTTTCCTGTAATTCAAAACAGTTGTCTAAAAAAGAAACTGATAACTGTGGTTCAAGTTAACAGTTATATTCAGTACGTTAAGGGCTGGTCAGAGACAGCTCGAGAAGAACGCAGGAATGCATACTTCAAAATGCATGTACTTCATTTAAAAATGCTGAAATGAATTTGTGTTTTACGTACGATATGTCTCGAACATACATTTGAAAAAAAAAGAAAGGAAAAAGTATCCCCGAACAAGGATACAGGAATACAGCAACCTAAATGCGCTAGATTGGGGATAATGATATACCGCAAAGATTTGCATCAAGTGCAGAATAATACTGTTAACAATGCTGCAGCACAAACACATATGGCTTATTACTCGAACCACTAATGAACCAAGCCAAATGAAGATAAAGCACACATTTATTTTACGCCCAGCATCACGCAGATCAGCTTGTTGCGTTAAATGTGCTTAAGTAACAGAAGCTTTTGAAATACCCTGTCTTCTAGATAGCGTCGGCTGGGCGTAAAAGAAGCCTCCCGACGAAAGAAGTATATCTACTACTGCAGACGAGCGTAAGTGCCAGTATTAACGAATAAACGCAGTCTGAATGATCGAAAATATGGCTAGCGCGATTCCGCAGTCGGCATTGGCGTATATGTTTTATAAACTAGACCATTCTGTGCTTGTGGATAGCTCTCTGCAAATTCTTCCTGGGGCATAAAGCACATGTATGCCTTTTTTAGTAAAAAAAAGTATTTCCTTGGCCTTTGCAAACATGTTCTTTCATTTTTGACAAAAAAGGAAGGTAACGGTGAAACGGTAAAAAAGGATAATGTCCTGTAAAGTTTGCAACATAATCGGTACAGCGTAAATGTATTTCGCTACTGAGATGCACATAAACTTTTCGAATGTATACAAGTACACAAATGCGGATACTCAATAGTAATTTTAGAGTCGTGTTGTGATCTCTCCATCAAGGAGTTGGGATGGAGGAGCCAGGTTCGACGAAGGGCTAAACGGTGACACAGAGTGCGAGCAGCTGCAATCGCCGCCACATGCACCTGGAGAAGCAGAACATAGCCATGCGCCTCTTTCTGCGTGGACTCTGAGATCCCCTTTGGAGGCGTGCGAAACCCATGTTAACCAAACGAATACACCAGGACAGGCGAATTCCCAACTTCGAATGCTACTACCACATATCCGAATCAAATACTACGGTCGCCTCCATATTCTTTAATATGACACCTGTGTTCGGGCAAGTGCCATCAGAAAACGCAATCTCAGTTACCACTTGCTACTTCTGAAGTCCACTTGCAGTTTCTGAAGAGTACGCTTGGTTTCAACTCTTGGTCAGTACTGCCTCATGGTCTGCTCTACTTTAACGGTTTAGGTATTTGAAACGAGTTCGCTTACATGTGATCGTCGACGTCATGGAAAACATACAAAATCACGAAACTGCATGGCAGAAACTCAAGAAGAGAGTGCGTATCCCACAGTGGAGAAACTTACGAATGTAAATAGATAGATAGATAGATAGAGAGATAGATAGATAGATAGATAGATAGATAGATAGATAGATAGATAGATAGATAGATAGATAGATAGATAGATAGATAGATAGATAGATAGATAGATAGATAGATAGATAGATAGACAGACAGACAGACAGACAGACAGACAGACAGACAGACAGACAGACAGACAGACAGACAGACAGACAGACAGATAGATAGATAGATAGATAGATAGATAGATAGATAGATAGATAGATAGATAGATAGATAGATAGATAGATAGATAGATAGATAGATAGATAGATAGATAGATAGATAGATAGATAGATAGATAGACAGACAGACAGACAGACAGACAGACAGACAGACAGACAGACAGACAGACAGACAGACAGACAGACAGACAGACAGACAGACAGGACAGACAGACGAAGATAGATAGATAGATAGATAGATAGATAGATAGATAGATAGATAGATAGATAGATAGATAGATAGATAGATAGATAGATAGATAGATAGATAGATAGATAGATAGATAGATAGACAGACAGACAGACAGACAGACAGACAGACAGACAGACAGACAGACAGACAGACAGACAGACAGACAGACAGACAGACAGACAGACAGACAGACAGACAGACAGACAGACAGATAGATAGATAGATAGATAGATAGATAGATAGATAGATAGATAGATAGATAGATAGATAGATAGATAGATAGATAGATAGATAGATAGATAGATAGATAGATAGATAGATAGATAGATAGATAGATAGATAGATAGATAGATAGATAGATAGATAGATAGATAGATAGATGAGCTTTATTGAAAGAAGCATATCTTCGTTTATATTTCCACAGGATAGCCAGATATCCTCGAGCAGACTATTTTATAAAACCTTTCTCCGTTTACATAGGCCTGTTTGCAAGCAACGTCTCCAGGGGAGTGGTAACCATACATACTCAAATATTTTTATACCCCTGTAGCAGCCATCCTTATTTTCTCGCCGTTAATTGGCTGCTGTAAGCAACTTTTTTTTATTCTTAGAGATTAGCGTGGTTTTGCGACATGAGATATTCCATGTCGTTAGAACACACTGGTCGGCAGCAGATACTGAGGTCCACCGTAGCGTAAAAAATATTATGTTATATTCTGAGTCTATTGAAAAGTAGAGGTGCCTTTGCGGGCTAAGCGAGAACGAGTTTAATATCAACCACCGTTTCGCCCTTTCAAAATCATGACAAAATACGGGCGTATAAAGGCGTTAACTACGCCTACGTTATTTGCCACATTGTTGTCACTTTCAGCAAGAACTTCGGACTATTTCGTGCAGGAGAATCAGCGCTCAGAAATTGAACAATTAAACACGAGAATTGCCGCTATATTTTTTTTTGCTTTGTTCTCGCCCTATATAGTACACACGGAGTGCTTATCAAATATGCACTCGTTCACTTTTCCACTCTCTTGAGCAACAGCTGCATCGGACAGACGAGAAAATACTTCAACGTCAGACTCAAGACACCAATGCTACGCGTGCTTGTTAGCAAGCCAGGTTATTTGGCTGAAAAGTGTAGATGTCAGGCACTGTTTCGGCACACCAAGGTAGTATCTGGCTCGCACACAAAGTCACAGGGTGAGGGAGTTCAGGCCAAGAGCATGTTATCTGGAGAGTTCGGAGCATGCCTAACCAGGCCAACTTGATTTGATTGAAGCACTATTTTTGAAAGACACGTTGTAGATTCTTGGTAATCCTGTACGCTGAACAAGATTACTAGCTGGTTTTATCGTTTACTTTGGCTATATAGTTGTTCCTGTTCGTACTTTCACTTTTTCTTGCACCTCCAGCTCCGCAACCCGCCCTCTTTTTTTTAAAAGCACAGCTTCAGGCGTCTCACGAAAGAAGAAAGGGTGAATAGTTTCTGTCCAGCAGTACATGCTGTTGTGTCCTGTTTTTCTTTCCGTAAGTGTTTACGCAGCGCAGCGTACACACTTACGGAAGGAAAAAATTACGCAGCGTAATGTTTCCCAACCTATCCTCAAACTCTGGGCAGCGCTTTTTTGTTAACTCTAGGGTGTCAGTGCCATTTTATGGTACCTGTTGAGTATTCCATAAAACTTGTGCTACGCTTTGAGGCCTTCATTATTATTCTATGCTCAAGTTCTTAGACTTCACAAACATTTCTGCAGATATACTGGGCTGAGTGCATAGGGCTAGCGCGAGTGTAACACACACTGCCACCAATCATAAAATATAAAACTTTACCACTTCTTCCATAAATGTAGGTTCCAGACATAAGTAAACATGAACAAAAACCTGTCACAGTTGATAGTGGCGAGAGTGCTGCTTTTAACTAAAGCAGTCGATAAAGAGAACCAGGCTACTGAATCGAACTATTCTAGCAAATCAGTGAGAAAAAAAATGATAGAGCGTTTCGAAGTAATGATGCATTTCGAAGTTTGTAATATTTATCTGCGTTTTGACAGCGAATTTTCTATACAAATTTTGTTGGCCGTAGGGACGCCACAATTAACTCCTTACATAGAGCTTTTCCACAAGTATTTTGTTTGACACTTCATTACAGTACAAATGAACAGCAAAAAAAAAGAAGAAACAAACGTTTTCTTGTTTTGTGGCGGTATAGACTCGAATTTTAGAGGTGAAACTTCTTGTTTCAGAAGGACCACAGAGACCGTAAAACCGATACGTCTCCACTTTATTGTTGACAGAACGAGATTATATATATATATATATATATATATATATATATATATATATATATATATATATATATATATATATATATTAAGGGAAAGAAGTGTATGCCTAAGGGCTCGTTTTTTCGAGTTGTTTACACAATAATAATGAGATCTAACAGACAGTAATGCCAAGAAATATACAGGGGAAGTTATTAGAACCAATGGAATGTAAGTAATAAGAAAGAAAAGCGGATGAAAGAATAACCAGCCGTGAGCAGGAATCGAACCTACGACCTTCGAATAACGCGTTCGACGCTCTAACCACTCAGCCACCACAGCGGCCTTCCCTCCACCCACATTTTTGGGTTTATATGTGAATTTAGATGTAGGAGTGACAGTCAGCGCCATCTATAAGCCAAGCGACGAGTGTGAAAACGCTCTTTTATGCGCATGTTTGGCGTCACGTAGCACGTGAACTTATTATGAGCGGGCAGCTGATTAATAGTCCCTCGTATACAACCTAA